GCAGGTGTGGTGGTGGTCTCTGCAGGTGTGGTGGTGGTCTCTGCAGGTGTGGTGGTGGTCTCTGCAGGTGTGGTGGTGGTCTCTGCAGGTGTGGTGGTGGTCTCTGCAGGTGTGGTGGTGGTCTCTGCAGGTGTGGTGGTGGTCTCTGCAGGTGTGGGGACGGTTTGGGGTGCTTCGGGGGTGGTGTGGGGTGCTTCGGTGGTAGTGTTCTCTTTTGACTTTTGACTCTTTTTTTGTTTTTTTGAAGTTTTGTTTTTTCTCTTCTGAGTCTGAAATAAGATAATTCTGAAATAAGTGATGCTGAAAAATCACATGTCCACCTGGCCTGGCTAGCACGTCATGCCACTCAGACCCCCCTTTCATATCCTCACAAAAGATAAGACAGCAATGCAGCTGAACCTACAACGACACCCACTGTAGGTTTCTTAATTGTAGACTTCTTACAACTTAAAAGCTTTAAGGATCTTTTGAATTCAGACCATTGACTTACGATAAAATATACTTACATAATACACTTAATCAACGGTACAGTAAAACAGATCATTCAGTACTGTAACAACATCTGGTATATTACAACTCAAGATCTGAAAACTTACATATCATTAAACAACTTGGTCTTGAGATAGAGCTCATTATTGGTAGAGTGCTCGCTTTGTAACCGGGAGGTCGTGAGTTCAAACCCCGGCATAGTCATACCATTAAGACTTTAAAAATGGTACACGCTTCTTTCTCTGCTTAAGCACTCAGCACATATGAGAAAGAGTGTGGGAAGGTCAAACACACAGCACTACCAGCGGACAGCCCCCTAGGCCCTGCTGTAGTGCCTTACACAACTGTTTGGGCCACGAAATGGAGATGGGTACCACCCTACGCTCTGCATAAAAGCACAGGAAACCTTCTTCTTTTTCTTCTCAATGAAATAGATCTATTAAAAACTCTTTGTAAATCTTACAGTTCTAACTTACCCCTGCTTTCCTCAGAGGTGGCCTGTTGAGAGCCTGTGTGCAGAGGGCGCACTGGTCCCGCAGGCACCAGTGCACCCTCCTGCACCTGGGACATTCGAGATGCCACGTGTGTGGCTGGACCTGAAGAAGTAAGATAGAGCACATTTATAGGATACATTTTGTCATCTTTGTCATCTAAAGTACATGGTTACATTTTGTCGTCTTAGTCTTCCAAGCCACATCATTACATTTTGTCATCTAAGGCACATAGTTACATCTTGTCATCTTTGTCATCTAAGGCACATACATGTAGTTACATTTTGACATCTTTGTCATCTAAGGCACAGTACGTTTTGTCATCTAAGGCACATAGTTACATTTGACGTTATGGCACACGTTAAAATTGATTTTAAAAAATAAAAAAACTAACTGTTACATTTTGTCGTCTTTGTCATCTAAGGCCACACTAATTTAATTTCTTGGTTAACGGATTCGCCGCTTCATTTTTTTCTGATTTGCAAATAAAAATAAAAATCCAGAATCAACTGCAAAATGCTCATACTTTGCCCTGAACAGTTGAAAACAGACCTTTTCATCCTAGTTGTTACAGTTATTCCATCTTTCAATGCAATGGTATCATTAAAAGTTAAAAATTCATTGTTTAAATTTTGAACCAGCCTGGTGTGTTGACTTCATGGCTCCTATCGTGCCATTTTGGGCCATAATACGATGCCTAGGCCTGTTTTTATTTTTATTTTTTTTTTGCCCGCCCGCTCCATTATTTTTCTAGAAAAATCCGTTAACCAAGGAATTAAATTGGTGTGGCCTAAGGCACATAGTTACATCTTGTCATCAATTAAGGCACATAACTGTTACTGGCACTGTCATCAATTGAGGCACATAACTGTTACTGGCACATACTTTTTTTCATCTTTGTCATTTAAGGCACATAGTTACATATTGTCATCTTTGTCATCTAAGGCACAGTAACATATTGTCATCTTGTCATCTAAGGCATATACAAAATGTAGTTATATAGTCATCAATATAAGGCACAAAACTGTTCGTTACTTTTTGTCATCTTTGTCATCTAAGGATCATAGTCTGTCATCAATATAAGGCACATAACTGTTAATTACATTTTGTCATCTTTGTCACTTAAGGCACATAGTTACATCTTGTCATCTTTGTCATCTAAAGCTTAAGCACATAGTTACATCTTTGTCATCGAAGGCACATACATGTAGTTACATTTTGTCATCTTTGTCATCTAAAGTACATGGTTACATTTTGTCATCTTTGTCATCTAAGACACATACATGTAGTTACATTTTGTCATCTTTGTCATCTAAGACAAATACATGTAGTTACATTTTGTCATCTTTGTCATCTAAGACACATACATGTAGTTACATTTTGTCATCTTTGTCATCTAAGACACATACATGTAGTTACATTTTGTCATCTTTGTCATCTAAAGTACATGGTTACATTTTGTCATCTTCGTCATCTAAGGCATATGGTAAGTTATTGGTAACGTTACATTGTGTCATCTCAGGCACATAACTGTTAGTTACATTTTGTCATCTTTGTCATCTAACGCATATAATTACATTTTGTCATCTTTGTCGTCTAAGGCACATAGTTAAATTTTGTCACCTAAGTCACATTTTGTGTTCGTATGCCTTACCAAGTAAATGATTAATATGTAACTTTTAAGTGTGTATGTAACTTATCATTGAGGAATAACTATGTTGTATGTGTATGTTGTCCTGATTATATATTTTACTCATGTTCTGCTTCATTGTCCAAGGCATTTTTACATACAAAATCATACCTCTAATCATCAATATCTTGTCTATGAACTCATTTCAAAAACAAAACAAGACTTTGAAAAACGCCATGTGAAGATATTTTGTATCAGATGCATGTTCTTAACTCTAGGATCAATTAAAAAACACTGTTAAGACATCAAGTGTACATGTAATTTACATTTCAACTTATTTTTTTACTGCTTGGGGGGCCACAACTTAATGAATTTCTTAATATACATTGTCCAGGCTTTTCTATGCACAAAAAGAAACAAATCATGTCCAGAATAAAAGAAAATTTTACCCTACATGCGGACATAAACAGTTCTGCAGGACTAATAAGAGTCACACTTACGTCGTAGATTGTCAGATTTTTTTGGCAGGTTCTACACTTTCTGCCAGCCTGTGAAGAATAAATACAACCACTTCAGTCAAATCTATAATTATCATAATTATCAGCGTTTTATAAATGCGAAGTTTATTGCACATCATCCAGCCCGAAGGCTTATTGCAGATTACAAATATAAAAGAACATTTAAACAGAGTATAAAATAACTTAAAAATCTACATAATGAAAGGTAGGTGTCTATAACTATCGTAGCTACATGTATGTCCAAAACTATGTCTGAAGGATTTTGTCATGGAAGACGTAATGTCCCACCCTTTCCAAAATCAAATGTCAACAGGCCATTCTTTGTCTTACATTGTGATACAAACCAGAAATAAATGTTTTATACGACATTAAATCATATGATAACTTCATGATGTGCGCCTATTAGCACCTAATGGTTCTAATTTGGAGTGATGCGCACAACCGAGCACGTTCTAGAACAGCTCTGAACCGTTAATTAAGCCAGCGTGTGAACCGAAAGTCGGCAAATTAACAAACGACAGAGTTTATGTTAGTGAAACAAGCAATAGATCTACTGCAACGAACATTTACAAATCTATGGTTGCATGTTTCAGTACTGTGATCTACTGTTGCATCTTTCAAGAAGTCTACATTTTGACGGAAGGGCCTTGATTGTGGAAATCGTGACTTCTAATTACATGATGGCATTTCACAATCGGAAAGCGAAGCTACACGTGACAGGCAACAAACACATAAGGACTTACCGGGCGGTAGACGTTTTCCAGAAGATATCTGACATTTTCGATGTCCAACTCTTTGCTGAGTACGCCTGGCATCTTGGAATAGTACTCTCTTACTATCTTTCTATAACTTTTTCAATCACGAGGATCTGGACTTATGTCCGTTCTTTTACTCGTTAGTTTTCGGAATGAAACTTTGTTAGTTGTGACGCTTAACGTCCGATCTCTTGATTGTTGCGCGAGGGTCGCTGATTGGCCGAAAGTTTAAAACCGCGTGACGTAACAGACAAGTGATCGGCACCGCGCAAGGGATGCTGGGAACCATCGCCCCAGTGGAACAAGGCGTCATTGATACGTAATAAAGCGTCTGGTAAGATGGAATTTTCCATCAACTGAGCACGCAGTAACCCCCCCCCCCCACGACCGTGATAGTCCGTGGTAAAAAAAAACGAGGAAATGATTTTGTTTGCTTGTTTGTTTATTTAACAGGGACAGGGTTTTCACTGGTCCCTGGAGGAAAGCCCCAAACGCAAAGTACAAGTAATAACAATAAAGTTACAACATAGAGTAATAACTGTATGAACAAACTTATTTACAGTCAAATTGAGCAAACTGAAATAAGGTAACTTACTGGTGAGCAGGAATTTATAAGCGCAGCAGTGAAATAAGTGCTACAATGTAGGCATACATGAAATAATATATATTGAGACAAACTTTGAGGATAAAAGTTTGAGTTCACATTTCTCGTATCTGCTGCGGAATATCAGATACGTGGTTGAAAAGTGCAAGAAGTGGTGTGTTTTGGGGTGAGAATAATTGATTTTGGGCTCCTAGCCTTGAAATTCCGGGTATTCCTCCGAGTCGAACGTGATTTCCAGATCGAGCTGTGTCGTGGATGATTACAAAGATTAATATATAGAGCAACAGGATTTCCTTTATAATTGACTGTGTGGAGTATTCTCAAGGGTTTTCTCTTCTTGCCAACACCAGTCATTTCTGTCGGGAAAAAAATCTATTGGATTAATTATCCTGCGCGAAAACCAATTTTATTCACGGATCACACGAATTGCTTACTTCACTGGGGGGGGGGGGGGTCATTTTGAATAAAACGACGTTCTAGAACCCAGAAGTGGAACGCAGCTTTCGCTTGCGATGTCCCCCTGGCAGATGCTGCGATTATCTGCATTCTGCTCTCAGATACCAGAATTGGTTATTTCTGGTGAGATTGGGTGGAAGGAAACGGGACAGCCATCCTTCTGTGAAGTCATCGAGTCGATAGATAAGCTTTAGATTTTTGTACCAGCGGAGGCCAGGAACTTTCAGAAATTAAAGTTACCCACGTCGGGAAATCTACCAGGGGGACAACGCAAGCGAAAAATGGTTCTAGAACGGTTGTAGTCTAGAATACAGTACAGTGCTGACTCATAAATTCCACAAAAGGCCAGCATGTCCCGGATTTTAGTAGTCATGTACAACAGCAAATTCGCAATACCAGCTTTGTATTCTTGTGGTTTAGCAGCATTTTCCTTAACTGGAGTTTTGTTTTATTCGCCCACTCGCATTAGTTTTGGGGTCTTCATAGGATGTCATCCATAAAATTAAGCCAGTGTGGCCTTACTTGTACTGTCAAGAAGAATACTACTTAGTATTCCTGATGCAGTTGTGTCCTCTAGCGTCCCTTACTGGTACTTCAACCGTTCATATTCAGGCAATTGTTTTATACCGTTAGAAAACACTGTCAGATAGGAATACGTCACTGGGAACACATTGAAAAGTTGTTGAAATTTATTCCAACACAAATATTTGATTTGAAATTTATAAACAACATAAAGATTACACAGAGATCAAATTTTCAACGACCTCTGTCTCCTTTTCAATAAAGAAAACATATCCTGACGTTCCTGCCTTTCTGACACGAAACTTTTCTGATCACCGCTTTCTTTCTATCTTTCTTTCTTCACTTTCACCACTCACACATCACTTGCACTTTTGCATCGCCCGGCCGGCCGCGCCTCCATTATTTTCGCCAATAAGGTAGCGCCCTGTGTACCACGTGATGCATCAGCTGATACGCGGGAACTAGGTCAAAAGTTCACCCTCTCGACGTCTCCCCCCACGCCAAAACCAGCTGATTCTGGTCCGTTAGGTAAATTTGAGACTTGGTCCACGTTTCTCCTCGTAGTTGCCACGCCGTACAGACATGTCTGACATTCCTGAGCCCATCAAGAACCCAGAGATACACTCTACTAAGGTTTGTGCAGAATTATATGTAATAATAAACCTATTAACGTTATGTTACTTTACTGTTGTGTGATACTATAACGTGCTACCGCATATCGATGCAGCTAGGTTGAGTTTATTGTGTGCCTTGCGTAGCCCCGCCCCTTGCAGAAGACTTTATATGCACATTTTGTCAGTCACAGGTCTTATGCAAAGATATACAGAATTCCTTTGGCTTATTTTATATGTCTTTTGTTATTTTCATATATGAAAGAAGCCGGTTCTTGATAGATGTTAATGTAGTGCTTAAGTCTCTATGTCAAGTCAATGAATGCTGATGACCCAATAATTATGTAGAAACTCTGCATGGGGCATATTTCACTACTTGAGCAAATATTTGTGTAACATGACAAAAAGTAATGCTGGTCTAAGTGTAGTATGATACTGGTAAGGCAAAAGTCAAGTGTGTAATGTTTTCCATCTCCAAACAGGATCTTGTAACAGTTACTTAATGATTCACCACATGTTGGAGCTGGAGGGGTCAAATAAAGTTCAACTTTGGCAGCTTGGTGCTAAAGCACTATTGCCGCACATAGCACAATTGGAAGGCAATTTGACATTGGTTCATATCAACTATTGTCGGAAAGGACCATAGCTTACGAAACCACAAGTTGACATAATTTGATGGTTCACGCTGAATAACTGGGGCCCAGAGCAGTTGCTGCCTGCACTGCATACAAATGAGACAGCAGACTTTGGTCTAACCTATATATGGTCTCTCTATTTGTATAAAGCCAGGGGTTAATGCCCTTCACATCTCTGCTGTCACTAAAATGCCCAAAGGAAAAGTTCTCTGTGCTCAGTCGGTGGTTTTCAGATTGCAGTTTGCTGGAGCAGCAAACTATTGACTTTTTGTGAACCAACTCTCCTGGCATGTTATTTGTCTATTTAGCCAATTTCTACTCCTTCTAGCCCCTTCTGAAGCCTGGTAGAGGCTAGGCACATATGAGCTGCCCATACTTAGTATCTATTTGCAGCCTATACCTTTTCTGAAATCTGCTTCAAGAGAGATATTAAAATTCATAACAGGTGGTTATAATCAAGGACGTTCTATAATCTAGTGTAGGGAGCTTTGTCAAGCACTGGCATGTCACAAACAGTTCTGAATGGTGTGTATTGTTGTTTATACATGTATATTTATTCTGCAGATTTTCATCAACAATGAATATCACGATTCGGTGAGCGGGAAAACTTTTCCCGTCTACAACCCGGCCACCGAGGAGAAAATTGCTGATGTGCAGGAGGGGGACAAGGTGGGCATTTTTCCCTTAATCTGTGTATGTGTGTGTTTCTGTAGTCATTTCCACATGCTTGCCACCTCAGGGACATTGACAGACAGGAAGATTTAAGGCCCCAGCAAATGCATAGACAGAGTCAGCAAGAAATTTGCGACCGAGGGGGAATTTCTTTATTAGAGGAACACAGTTTGTAATGCTAGAATGCATTGTTGAATTGTTTTTACATCTTTTTACTGTAAAACGATCATTTTAGAATGACTAAATGGTGTGTAAGTAGCCACTTAATACTAATAATAGGGTTCAATCTGAAAATTGATATAAGGGAGCTGGCTGGTTACATAAGGAAGCAGGGCCCTTATTCCCCTGTTTAGAAAAACCCCTGCAGTGTTAGTAATTCCGTCATCTGTGCTCTGTAGGCAGATGTGGACAAGGCTGTTGCCGCTGCCCGGGCGGCCTTCAAGCTGGGCTCCCCCTGGCGGACCATGGATGCATCGCAGCGCGGCAGGCTCATGCACAAGCTGGCAGACCTGATCGAGAGGGACAGGGTGTACCTGGCAGTACGGAAATACTTTTTTCTTCACTTGGAGATTGACAGATTAACAGAACCAACACATTCTGAAACCTATCATGACATCACCCACACACTAATATTCAATGGTATCACAATCTATACTTAATTGATGTCACGTATACCACATATGACAATTACAACATAATATACATTTTTCAGATGCATACTGTACTGTGTAATTTACAGTATGCAAAATAAATTGCTTCTGGATAATGCTAATTTGGAATCAATCCTCTTTGAAGGCACTTAATAATATGTTTACACCTGCTAGAAACCATCTATTAGTAAATAACATTGACAAAAGTGTGTAAGATACAATGCACATGTATTCTACTTACTACATTGTACAATGTACTTAGTATATCATGGAGTATATTACGCTGATTGAAACACTAGATTAAGTGGTGTCTGCAAAATAGTTGACTTTTTTCCCTATATTGAGTACTATTCTCTCTCTTCTGATCCTCTGTGCATCGGTGGCGCAACGGTTAGAGCGTTGGACTCGGAACCGAGAGGCCCCGGGTTCGATACTCACCGTGGCCCGACGTTGTGCCCTTGGGAAAAGCACTTTACACAACTTCCCCACCTATACGGTGGAGTGACGCCGACCGAGCCTCTTAGGCTAATCCGTCTGTCAGGGTGCTAAAAACACCTTACGGATTTGGTGCGCTGATGTGACAACATCTCATATTGGCCACTGAGAGCCGTAAATTTTTTTTTTTTCTGATCCTCTACAGAGTTTGGAGGTTGTGGACAATGGGAAGCCGTTTGCTGACGCCTACGACGCTGACCTTGGAGAGGTCATCAATGTCATCAGGTACTACGCTGGATGGTGCGACAAGATCTGTGGCAAGACAATCCCAGCTGGTGAGTTTCAAAAGCCCTTGGGCCACACAATCACTATAGCAGGAGGCTTAGGTTTAATGGTCTGTGTGTTTACCTTCCATATGCCCTTTCTCATAAGGCCTAGTATCCCTGCAGGTAAGTTACAAATTTCAAAAGCCCTTGGGCCACACAATCACTATAGCAGGAGGCTAGTCCACTGGTGGTCTTGTCTGTGTGTTCAACTTCCATAAATTGTTTCTTCTGAATAAAGCTGTTGGAAAAAAATTCAAAAAATGAATGAAAAAAATAAATTGTTTCTCATATGGAAGCGTCATGCACAACTATTCTCTATATAGTTTGACACCACATATTTTATCTTCAATTAATATAATTATTTTCTGAATTGCACAAACACTAGACTAAGTGTCTTTTAACAGTAGCTCAGATGTTAGACCTTCCTTTATCATCTCAACCATCCCAAGCTATTCAAGGTTTGAAGCTCTTATTAGGTTTAGAGACTAGTAACACCCCACACACATTTTCAATATGTATTGCCTTCATAACACATACACATACTCTGATGGTTTCAATAATTTGCATGATATACAGTCATGTTTACTTATGCAGTAGCTACAGGCTAAAAATGCTGCCATCAACTAGTAGCTTGTAGATAGTGGAGGAGGTGTCTTTACGTTTCCTTACGTTTGTTATTTCATGGCAGATGGGCCGATGTTCTGCTACACCAGACATGAGCCTGTGGGTGTGTGTGGGCAGATCATCCCTGTGAGTTCTTACCCTGCATGACAATATCATTCCTGCTATACATTACTACTGTAAAAGTCAATGCCAATAGCCATCTGATCCTTATACATCTCTTGCGCTAAACATTTTTCCTTGTGGGTAACATTTTAAAATGTGACTATCTTCAAGTAGTTATAACACTATTGTTAACATATATTTTATAACCACATTTGTTAATCAAAACACTTTTTTCAAATCAGCTTTATTAAAATGAACATACATACAGATGAAATGTTGCTTGGATAAAGTCTGTATAGTATAGAAATAGTGATGCTGATTTTTCACTTCTTGTGATTCCTGTTAATGAAATTTTTAAGAAAAAGACACAACCAAAATATGCCTAATGTACTGAGAATTATCATACTTATTTTTTCTCTCTTACAAATAGCTAGTATATGCTATTATACTCCAGCACGGTTTCTTATGATACTGATTACAATTTCCCGCGGCTGTTCCCCCCAGTGGAACTACCCCCTGTCCATGTTTACGTGGAAGATCGGCCCTGCGCTGGCCTGTGGGAACACCATCGTGATGAAGCCGGCAGAACAGACTCCTCTCTCAGCCCTGTACATGGGAAAACTCTTCATCGAGGTATCGTCTTGTTTTTCCTTTTAAGATATTGGGTGCAGCACAAGATGGAAATGATGTTTTAATTTGGATATTCAATTTAGTTAGGTTATTATGTTACTTCATTACAATTCTTTGTGCAGATTTTTGCCTGATAAAAATGTATACAAAAAGTATTAAGTAAAAAAAAATGTGATACAGAAAGGTAACCTGGGCTTTGACAACATTGCTGCACTGGCTGCAGACCGTCTGTCATGGACTTTTAAGTTAAAACTTAAGATCCACTGCTCCACAGTCGACTGATGATGATGATAAAGAAGTTTAAACAGTTTGAGTTAACTAGAATCCACACTCAGCATATGTTACAGTAAGCTATTCTTCCTGTAGCTATTGGTCCTTACAGTCACAGGTAACAATATTCTGTAGAACTAAAAGCCATCTTCTAAACCTCCTGGGTTTCACTTTTGTTCCATGTTGAATGTGAGCTGCAGTCTTTGGTTATATATGCATGTATATCATATCACATTTAATTTGTTCCTTGCCAGGCTGGTTTCCCCCCAGGTGTGATGAACGTTGTCCCCGGTTACGGCCCCACGGCTGGAGCCGCCATCGCTGAACACATGGATGTGGATAAGGTCGCCTTCACTGGGTCTACTGAGGTAGGGGTGTCTCCTACCCGTAATGAACAAAAAAAGGGAACATAATTACAGCATCTTTATCTTTGACTTGGTCTACTGAGGTACGAAGGGATCATGATAAACTGTCTTGAGCAGACTTACCTGTAGTGATTGACTAAGACGGGGAACATTTACTGTAAACAGCATCTTTATCTTTCACTTGGTCAACTGTGGTAGGGTTATCTCCTACCTGGAGTGAACAACTTAGCCAGGGAACATTACAGACTGAGTATCTTTATCTTTCACTTGGTCTACTGGGTGTCTCCTGCCAGTAGTCAGAACATTACAGCATGTTTAAAGTTAAAACTTTTGGTCCAACACAAAAGGTTTTCTCACTTAGAGCTTTCTACCAGTCACTCTGGTCTTCCTCAGTAGACTGACCCAGTGAGGCTTGTCACATTGCTTCTTTGAAGTGTGATGTCAACACTGGGTCTAAGGTATCTGGTAGAGGATGTTGGCCCCAGTCACGGTTCAATGTAGGGTGATGGGCCCTGATGTATATGGCTTCCTTCACCCCTCTTTAGGAAGTAGTCTTGTTCAGTGTCCAAAATCCTTACAGTGAAACAAAGTGTCCGGGTGACTCTAGGTGGATGTGTTGTGACACTTCTGAACTGGCTGAGCTTGGACGTGTACGACAGGTTTGGGCCTAGATCCACATCCAGTGTGAACATCTTCTTAGGTGTGTGTGACTGTGTAAATGTCACAGTACTTTTTTGTTGTTGACATCTTGATGACATGATATGGTTGGTTGACAGGTGGGCAGGATTGTGCAGCAAGCCGCAGGAAAGAGCAACTTGAAGCGAGTCACCCTGGAACTCGGCGGCAAGAGTCCAGTCATCGTGTTTGCTGACTCTGACAGTGAGTACTTTGTACATGTATACTGTGTTTCATGCATTTTTACAGTGGTTTGAATTAGGGAGAGTTGTGCTTCTGAGGCATTAGGTTTCCCTGGGTGCTTTGGGCTCATATTTAGTCCTGAAAAGTGACCTCAAACCAGTTTGGCCCATGGAAGAGCTGATCTTCCAGTGTGTACAGCATTTGCAGGTTCATTAAGCCATGATCCACGTACTATGAACCTGTAAAAACTGTACATGTACAAAAAAATGTATCTTCTTGGAACTGGATTGAGATCACTTTCTCTATTTTTCTTACTCTTTATCACTTTCTAACTCTTGTTGGTGTCACCAGGTACTCTGAACTTACACTTCAATGTGATTTCATGTGAACATCTAGCTCACTGAGGAGCTAATCTCCCAATGGTTGTGACAGAAAAGATGGGTGATGGGTACAGTATTTACAAGTTCTTCCCTTTTATTAGAAAGATGACTTTCTGTCTCTTTATCTAGTTGACTTTGCGGTGGCTAACTGCCATCACGCCCTGTTCTAGAACATGGGGCATATTTTACACTTTCTTCCTTTAAGTAGAAAGATCATTTTCTTATTTTCCCCATGCAGTTGACTTTGCGGTGGATAACTGCCACCATGCCCTGTTCTGGAACATGGGGCAGAACTGTTGCGCCAGGTCTCACAAGTTGTAGTGAATTCAACTTGATCTCATTCAATAGTCACCAGCTCACTGAAGAGCTAGCTAATTAATCACAGAATGGATGGGCAAAATGTACAGTATTTGCACATTCTTCCTTTCTTTCAGATCACTTTCTGACTCTTTTTTTTTATTAATTTTACCCGTGCAGTTGACTTTGCAGTGGCTGACTGCCACCATGCCCTGTTCTGGAACATGGAGTATATTTTACACTTTCTTCCTTTTGAGTAGAAAGGAAGATCGGTGTAATGTAGCCAGCTGCCGTACTGCGTGTCTGCGAAGCTGGTGCGTTACAACGAAGAGCAGTTATACTAGCTATACAGATACAGAAAGATCTTTTTCTTATTTTACCCTTGCAGTTGACTTTGCGGTGGATAACTGCCACCACGCCCTTTTCTGGAACATGGGGCAGAACTGTTGCGCTGGGTCCCGCACGTTCGTGGAGGAGTCCATCTACGACGAGTTCGTCAAGAGGAGCATCGAGCGGGCGAAGAACCGAAAAGTCGGGGACGGCTTCCAGTCAGGTGTGGAGCAGGGCCCACAGGTGGGTTAGGGCAGGTTCAATTTCAATTTTAAATTTATTCAATCCAACAAAATCGTACAGAAGCAGGAAATGCTAATGCATCCCTGAATTATGTATTCGATTTTTACAATTGGTTAAAAAACAAAACAGGACAAGTATACAGAAACACACTATATACAAATATGTACAAACACCATTCAATCTACAACAGGAAATAGCAGACATGGGTTTTCAAATATCAGCCATTGTCACTGTCATTGTAGAGTCTTACTGCCCAATGTAAGAAAGACTTTTTCAAGCATTGGTGTTCCTAGTCTCTACCAGACTAACAACGTGGGTTAAAAAAAGTAAAATCTAGCCAATAGGGAGAATGCTTGACATGGGGAGTTTATGATTTGATTTGATTTATTGAAATTGCAACAGTGCAATACACGCGGAACAGAGGCAGCTGTTGCTGGTGTTGTGTCCTGCACATAGAAACGTATACTGGACAGACAATAGTCATTTTCACTTGAGTCTAGTGATGAAAGCTGTGTAAAGTGCCTGTCCCAAGGGCACAAGATCGGTGGCATGTCAGGACTCGAACCCGGGACCTCTTGATTCCTAGTCGCGCGCACTGCCGTTGCGCCACACAACCCCACACGTGTTTAGCCAGCGTAGAGTTCATTTGCCCAGGCAGTTCAGAAGGGGGAAGTTAACCCTCTCACAGACTGACTCCCCTGGCTATTTCCCTTATTTAGCGAATCCTAACCCTTGTCGTCCTGACATTCCTGGCACAATATTTTTCAATAATTTTATGTCTTAAGTAGATTTTAGACCCCCCAATCTTTTTGCCCTGCAGTGGAATAGTTACTCCCGCATTCGTTGCGTTTCGCTGCGGTGTGATGCATTGAACGAGAAATACCCCCAAATCGTACCTATACAGGGTGCTATATAGATGGTACTGTATGTGCAGAGCGACACATGTTTCGCTCAGCAGGACAAGGCCTAGGATCCGTACACCCTCTAGGAAGGCCTGGTGGAGGCTAGGTGTTCCTACTCAGGTTCTCTTAGGGCTTATTGGGTATCAGGGTACCAGTGAGAATGATCTGCACTAGATAGGTATATTAAGTAATGCAGTGAGTCATGCTTCCCTGTATTTCATAGACTTCTTCCAATTGCAATTCTGCCATATCTTTAACATACTTAGGTGCTATGTGAATGCTGCTTGAAAGTTCTTTTGTGTTGGTAGAAGTGAGGAAGTAGAAACTGTAACTCCAGTCTTTCAGGAAAACATTTCGTTATAAAAAGAAGGAATCGTTGCAGCTTCTTAACATTCAAGTCAGCACCAAGGACAGGGACAATATCGACGCATGCACAAGTCTGTGACTCACATAGAACTAGAGAAGTAACATTTGAAAGGAAATGTATTATGTTTACCTTTGGACATGGTCTGCCCTGTTAATTTTTACTCAAACACCTTCACATACATGTACTACGAGACTATATATGGTGAAAGGAGTAAAGCAGATCATGAAATTGCAACATTATGTAACCCAACACCAGTCACCATGGTGACAGACGTCATCAAATCATGTTGTTGGCCAGGTCAGAGGTTAGTGTTTGGAACAGAAGAGGAGGAAGAAACTGAGTAAAAACAATATGTTTTCCTTCGATAAACATAATAATCATCCATGCTGTTTTCTGCATGTATGTGTCACGAAGTGACAGTTATACATTAAGCACTTACATTGTAGTAGCTATAGTTAGACCCTTCCTTCGAGCGGGGGTTTGCTGCCTGTTCGAGCACACCGTGCGCACGTGATCACCACGTGCACATGTGGTGTTGAACGGGTGTTCGAACAGGTAGCAACAACACCTGTTCGAAGGAAGGGGTTCTAGAAAGGTAACGTTACAGATGAGGCAGACTTGAAAAGATTAAAGAAACAACAGGACACGTTATCTCAGTCTCCGTGTTTTCTCGACGCCACTGTGACATATGTTGTTTTTTTATTCAGGTGAACCAGGAGCAGTTTGAGAAGATCCTGGGCCTGATCGAGAGTGGGAAGCAGGAAGGGGCCAAGCTGGGGTGTGGGGGGAACCGCAAGGGCGAGAAGGGGTACTTCGTGGAGCCCACCGTGTTCTACGATGTCAAGGATGAGATGAAGATTGCTCAGGAGGAGGTACTTCCTCATTTATGTTGTCGTTTTTTGTCTAAGGCAGTGTTTATTTGTGTGGTGTTCTGTATCTGTATCAGTATCTGTCTGTATATGTATAACTTTTGGCTAGAGCATTAAATGTATTACTATTAGAGTTTGAGAATGCATCTACAGCAGCGACACCTGTGCTGTGCAACGTAAACCAGTCAGAATTGCCCCGAGGAAGGTGACAGACTGTCACCAAAATGTATTAGCCCATATAACCGCACAACACACCGGCATTGCAGAGTGTACATTTAGTGTTGTACATGTATTATGATGGCAAAGCTCTAAAGTGATGAATCCAAGATTTGACTTCCATGTTAATGCAAAGAACTGGAGTTTGTGAACCACATTGCATATTAGTAATTTTGTCAGTCATTATATTCTTCATTCCATCCATCCATCCACCCACCTAACCATCCATCCATGCATCCATCCATCCATGCATCCATGCATCCATCCATCCATCCATCCATCCATCCATCCATCCATCCATCCATCCATCCATCCATATACCCACCCACCCACTCATCCATCCACCCACCCATCCATCCATCCATCCACCCATCCACCCACCTAACCATCCATCCATGCATCCATCCATCCATCCACCTAACCATCCATCCATGCATCCATCCATCCATCCATCCATCCATCCATCCATCCATCCATCCATCCATCCATCCATCCATCCATCCATCCATCCATCCATCCATCCATCCATCCATCCATTTACAGTACATTTATCATATCTTTTTTGAAGCCCAGTGTCATATTAGTTTTCTATTGAGGTTAACGTTCTACATCAAATGTTTTGTTATGTTTTCTTCAGATCTTTGGACCAGTCCAGAGCATCATCAAGTTCAAGTCGATAGAGGAGGCGATTGACCGAGCCAACAACACGACCTACGGGCTGGCGGCCGGTGTGTTCACTAAGGACATAGACAAGGCCCTGACCATCGCCAACAGTGTGCAGGCAGGATCTGTCTGGTGAGTCAACTCGTGCTTCTGTAGCCTCCACCAGACCTTTCTACGTGAATACAGATCATAGAATTCGGCAAAAAAGAGAATCAAATTGGCCACGGGAGTCCGGCCGTGGGGAGGTAGTTTCGTTCATTGTCAAACCCCAAAGCGGCCAAACTCTCCCGGGAAATATTCTCCTATATATAGCCAGCATAGTTAGTCTGGTAGAGACTAGTGCTTCTGTATCTAGAACCTTGAACCGGGCCATCAGGGATGTCAACACTGGAGACAATGGGTTCTTCCTCTCCACTCGTCCCTGTCCTCCATCAGTGAGCAGAGTTCTTTATCTCTAGGTAGAAGGTAAAAGGAGACTTTTGGGTTCAGTTTGCAGTTTAAACAGGACTGAAATAATCTGTCTGGTGAGTCAACTCGTGCTTCTGTACCTAGAACCTTGAACAGTACTGGAGACAAATGGGTTCTTCTTCTCCACTCGTCTCTGTCCTCCATTAGTGAGCGGAGTTCTGCTGTGGAGATGTTTCTGAGCCCAGCATCCCGCTTCAGGTTCTCAATGAAGGTTGTGCTTCTTCTACCCCTTGTCTGCCTTCCCTCTTCTGGCTCCCACAGGATAAGCTGGCTGGCTAACAGCTCAGGATGTCAGATGCTGTGTAAACTAATGCAACTGTAAACTCACTGTATTTTCACAGGGTCTAAATCTCTAGGTAGAAGGTAAAAGGTGACTTTTGGGTTCAGTTTGCAGTTAAATAGGAGTGAAATAAAATGCATATCTGAGGTGTCAGGACTTAACAGTGAAGAGGTCACCATGAACATAAAATCAACATAGACATTTCAATATTGAAAAGTATTACCGGAAGTCTTTGTCAATGTCTCTGAAGTCTTTTCCATACTCTATTGTAGGAGACATTTGGATTGATGCTTGACTGTCTAATTTTACCCTGTAATATGAACATCAATGTGACATTCATTCCAGACTTTTGTGTGTGTGATAATTTGCTGTAAGGACAAAACATACCTAGTCAAGTGATGTGCAACTTTTTTTTTTGTAACTTTTTTTCTAACGGAGTGGTTCAATGCAAGGCCTATACGACCACTTCTTGGCATTGAACTAGAAATATGAGAGAAACATGGCTATGTCAAGAGATGGCATTGAACGTTTGATTTGAAAGCCTGTAGATTGTAGGCTGTCTTCTTTCTTTCTTATCAAAACCCTCCTTTCCTTTTCCTGTTCCAAGTCTTGTCTGTTTTTCACCAGGGTGAACTGCTATGACCCTGGTCTGATCCAGGCTCCATTTGGAGGGTTCAAGATGTCGGGCAACGGCCGAGAACTGTGAGTATCAGCCTGTTAGTAAGGTTCGGTAATGCTGAGGTAATGTGCATTTCCAAACAGGGGCCCGGCCGGGCTGTTCTGATTAACAAGAAATCAACAATTTTTATCAAGTATATACGCAAATAGTTATCATATAATGATATTTTTCTACCTTTTTTGTGCTTTGTTGACTTTTATACCCTATTTTTCGCTATATAAGACCGCAGCCCAGCCGGGCCCCGGTTTGGAAATGTGACCTCATCATAACTGCAGTAGAATTACCTTCAGGTCTTGTGGTTAGGGTTGTTGCTCGTACTTATGGTACAAAATTGTAACAGTTGTGTTACACCTACATGTAAAGACAATCTACCATTAATGCAAAACAAACAAACAAAATACACTAAATTGTGCTCTGAAACACATTGTATTCAGATCATCTTTTTTGGCGACGCCTCAGGGGGGAGCCTAATGGTACAGTATTGTGTGCAGTTTGCAAGAATTCTAGGAATTGCACAGGCATTTTTTTCCACAGGAATGGAATGTCTACAGGCATGTCTGGGATTTTGCTGACACACATCTATGCCCACATTCCCACGTAGTGAAATTCCAGGAAACCCTTGGGACATTGTGGAAATTGTACAGATTCACAACTGAGCAGACACATGCTGATTTACATCCCTGTCCACTCCCATGCAGCATTATCTAGCTCATATAGCTATAGCTCCCATGTGATGTTAATGAAGTAAGCAGTAAGTGAGTTTTCTGAATTAGTGTAGAACGTCTTCTCCTACGTATCATCGACAGTCTTCAACTCTGCTGCATTTGAACAGGTACTATATCTTTCTCTCCTATTGTAATAATTGAGACGTTTATTGCAAATTCATGCCCGGAGGTTAATTGCCAGTTACAAACATAAAAGAACACTGAAGAACAGTATATAAAATAACTAAAATCCACATAATGAAAGGTAGTTGTCTAAAATTATAGCTACGTCTAAGTCTAAAACTATGTCTGAAGGGTTTGACTTCTCTTTTATAACTGTAGAAGACACGTGTAACGTTATATCTGTAAGTCTCCTTCTCAGCATTTCCCCAACATGTTCAGGGTCACAATGTGAGTTATCAGAATGCCACAAAGAGTATCCATTATGATCTAATACCGGTATGTCTTTAACAGTAAAGTTTGGCTATGGGTATTTGTAGGCTTTGCTGTAAGAGAGAGCATCCGTTTGAAGGGAGTGTGAGGTTGTGTCCATTTGGACCAAGCATAACCAGAATTTAACTACTAGTATATCTATATACAAATATCTGTATCTAAAGGAAGTCTACATAATTCTGCTCTACAGGCAAACATTGCTTACTATTTCTAAATACACCAAGAACATTTTTACAGAATTGGTTGCGTACATTTTCGATAGGTGAGGTCTCATATGTAGTTTAATATAATATTTCTTGTGGACATCAGATATTGACGTTCAACTTTATAGGTTGTTAACGTTAGGTAAGCATAACCAAATCCTTCGACTAGATCAATTTTGTTATAGGACAACTATTGGGTAATCATTCTCAATGGCAGATTATTCCTGTACATTTAATATTCCTTTATAACAGACCTAAGTTTCACCTAAAATTAAAATCATACAAATCTACCACAGTTCCAACACCAGAGGAAGATTTTTACTTTTTACGATCGACACAGGTGTCCTATAGGGCTCTTTTTATTCATAAATACATTGGATGCTGTATTACCTTCTAAGGATTGCCAGGCCGTAAGAAGCACGTGGAAGGTCCCCATTTGGACAACCACACAGAACTGAAATCTAGCCCTTGTAGTGTTGAAACAGACCGCCGTGTTTCCCTGATGGGGTCGGAAAACACCTCTAAGCTGACCCGCTGAGACTGGTTACCAGGCTAGTAATCCCTGAAGGGCCGCAAATCTGTACTTCCATGTGATGACTGTCTCAAACCAAGCCAAAGTGAACTCTCTTTCCAGCCCCACAATCAGTCTGCTCTTTCCTCACGTACATACCTACAACCATGCCCACATTCCAGGATTCCCCACATGCCTTTCAAGTGTATGTCCTACAATCTGGCCCACATTCCAGGATTCCCCACATGCCTTTCAATGTATGTCCTACATTCTGGCCCAGATTCCTACGTAGTGAAATTCCAGGAAACCCTTGGGACATTGTGGAAATTGTACAGATTCACAACTGAGCAGACACATGCTGATTCACATCCCTGTTCATGCCCGGGGGCTAATTGCCAGTTTCAAAGTTTTAACATAAAAGAACATTGAAGAACAGTATATAAAATAACTAAAATCCACATAATGAAAAGTAGTTGTCTAAAATTATAGCTACGTCTAAGTCTAAAAACTATGTCTGAACGGTTTGACTTCTCTTCTATAAGATGTAGAAGACATATCTGTAAGTCTCCTTCTCAGCATTTCCCCAACATGTTCAGGGTCACAATGTGAGTTATCAGAATGTCACAAAGAGTATCCATTGTGATCTAATACCGGTATGTTGCAATAAAGTTTGTCTACGGGTATTTGTTGGATTCATTAGGCTTTGCTGTAAGAGGAGAGCATCCATTTGGACAACCACACAGAACTGAAAACTAGCCCTTGTAGTGGTGAAACAGACCGCCGTGTTTCCCTGATGGGGTCGGAAAACACCTCTAAGCTGACCCGCTGAGACTAGTTACCAGGCTAGTAATCCCTGAACTCAGGCCGCAAATTTGTACCTCCCCGTGATGACTGTCTCAAACCAAGCCAAAGTGAACTCTCTTTCCACAATCAGCCCCACATTCCAGGATTCCCCACATGCCTTCCAATGTATGTCCTACAATCTGGCCCACATGCCTTACCCAGTGAATGTCCTGCAACCCCTTGGGAATTGTGGAATTTTCAGTCAGTACAGTCGATATCAGGAACAGATGTTATGTGCTACTGTGCTACCTGGTAGCTGCCTGTGTTGTGTGTCCATTGGATAGGTAACTTTTCCATCTACAACGCACGTCAATCCTTAGTTTTAATAGGAAATTGAACATGAAACATGGTTTAGTCTAATTGTCAATGTGATGGCTATATAGATCTGGATGTATACTGTATTGTTAAAGAAGTCAAGGCTAGTCAAATTCAGCGTTGTTTATAGATCTGTTGTGACATTGTCACCTGTGGCAACCTGTGTATTGGGAAAGGAATATTGGTTAGTAGGTTGGACATGTCTTAGACGACTATATGTTCATGAAGAGTAATATCTATTACATATGATGTAAGTTTAGCACTGTGTATATAGCATTCTTTTACTGTAACAAATGTGGAGACCAAAGGAGGGTGAGTGCTTCAATGGCTTTATTTATTAGACGGTTCGGCCCCGTATCTGTGATGATGTGTATCAGTAAGCTTTCCAATATACAGATTGATTTAAAATGTATGTGAAATGATGTAATTAGATCTATGTGTGTTATGACGCTACACTCTGACAACTTCAACTTGAATATTGTACATTGCTGTTTGGCCGAATATCGGAAATAAACATGTTCATTTGCTTCTTTGTAAGACAACGTCTCTCTGTTACTTTGTATGTCACGCGACGTTGATTCTCAATAGACACTGGAGTGCCTCTAAGCTTTCGGGAAAATTGCATCTGGTGGGAGATGGAAAATTTCTTTCCATGTTTCTTCATGTTTGTATTTTGTGAAACAATACAGTATGCATCCAGATGTATGACCCTGACAACTGTTTCATGTTCAATTGCCTGAAGTATTAGGACTGTAGATGGCAAACTTACCTACTTTGATTTTTCTTGACACGTCGTTTGCATACTATCTTTCATACTTTTTTACTCTTTCATTTGATAGTATTTGTCTTAAGTGTATTGAGGATACTTCTCCTGGAACAATGACAATGTCATGTTATGCTTGAAAATGTCGTCCTGAACAGTAGTGTACGCGTCTGTTGGAACTTTTGATACAGTAGATGGTTTATGATGTCAATAGAAGAGACTGTAACTGGCACTTGGATGTGTATTGGGTGTTATTTTTAACAAACTCAGACCAAAACGTACCTTCCCCAAAATCATGACAGTGCCAACAACCCTACCAACAACCTCCGTCGCCATGGCAATGTATTTTTCATTGCCAGTCTTGTTATTGGTTTATCATGTCATCTAAAACACTGAACACTGTACAATGTAACATCTGTGTCCATAATATCACCAGGGTCCATAATATCGCCACCTTGAGAAACAGTGTGCTTAAAGATATTTTTACTGCAACATACTTTTGGTATACACTCCTTCATACATCAACTGTACATACCTAGGGTATGTTGCAGTAAAAATATCTTTAAGCACACTTTTTCTCAAGGTGGCGATATTATGGACCCTGGTGATATTATGGACACAGATGTGTACATATACTTTTGTACTTCTCTAGATCTCTCTTAATTCTAATCTCTTGTTTATATTTCAGGGGTGAATATGCCCTGCACGAATACACGGAGGTTAAAACAGTAAGTGTTACTAATTGTATTCATTTCTCTTTTCAGTTTTTTTTCATAAACTGCGACTTAGAAAGAAAGTTTAGGCTCAAAGTTCACTATTGAGTTACCCTTCACCCTGCTTTCTAAACCCTGCAATCAATACAAATTTGATGGCAAAGGGTACTTCAACAGAGAGAAGTTTAAAGATACAAACGATAAAGCAGATCAAAGTGTACAATGTAATACTTGAAACGAAACATACTGCTTTAATTTTAGAATACGAGCTAAAATGCAACTCTACTTTATATGCATACTTGCTTACTTTATGTGTATGAACACTAAAAGTCCCATTCCATTTAGGTCACCATCAAGCTTCCCCAAAAAGCTTGAGGCACAAGAGGAAGTGGACAACCTCACAGCTTCATATTGTTTAGACACTAATTTTTGGTTACACCTCTGTGTCCCAACAACTCAGTCTGTGTTTTGACAACCCTAAGGCCACACCAATTTTATTTCTTGGTTAACGGATTTTTCTAGGAAAATAGTGGAGCGGGCGGGCGACAAAAAAAAATAAAAATAAAAACAGGCCTAGCTAGGCATCCTATTATGGCCCAAAATGGTACGATAGGAGCTCTGAAGTCAACACACCAGGCAGGTTCAAAATTTGAACAATGAATTTTGAACTTTTAATGATACCACTGAATTGAAAGATGGAATGACTGTAACAAGTAGTAAGAAAAGGACTGTTTTCAACTGTTCAGGGAAAAATATGAGCATGTTGCAGTTGATTCTGAATTTTTATTTTTATTTGCAAATCAGAAAAAAATGAAGCGGCGAATCCGTTAACCAAGAAATTAAATTGGTGTAGCCTAACTCTACAATGTATGTTGGCACATACATGTAGAGGCGACAGACATTAGAGGTGTTAGAAACTAGTTAATTAAATATAACCCTTAATTGTTGCCATGCAGCAGTTAGTCAGACACTTGTGTCAGTTAGCCTCCAGTCTATGTTACTAATTTGTGCACAAGTTTTGTTATTGCGATGACTCCTCGGCTCTGTGCATGGGACATTTGCATTGATGAATCATCATCATTCCAAGTTTTCTCAATTTCTGTCTTCCATCATGAATTTCAAGCTTTCAACTTTTCCAGCTAGTTAAGAAATTGAAGGAGTTTTGATTTGAGATACCTCAAGTGATGTGAAATTGTGCCCAGTTTTAATTACATGCATCCTATGATGGCTCAAATACTATAATGAAATATTGTAAATGAACCTTGTATCTCTTTTTTTAACCAAAGTCAGCAGAATGTAACAATTCCTACAACATAAAATTAACTTGATTTGTAAATCTAGCATAACCTTGAATAGAAACATACATTAACGTTAATGTCAATATTATAATGTCATACATTTTTAGTGTCAACGTCATGCTATGTGGATCTCACTGGCATGTTAAAAAAACTTTTCCTAAAAGTTTAAGTACAACTTTGTCATTTTTCAGTGTCCATTTGGGGAAAATGAATTTTTTTATTCTTGTACAAGCAAACACTGGATCATAAGACTGCATATTGTTTTCTAATATTTATTTATATTATTCTGTCAATAATCCAGTTCCCCATCTTACAACAAGTAGTGTGAGCTACATGTCTACTTAGTAATGGTAATAGTAAGTCAACACTAATGCTATAGTTTGACCTGGCCATTACAACAAAGTTTCAGTCTCACAGTTATACATTCTGAAGTTAAAAACTTGAGTCTATTTCAATTTCTAAACAGCCATTGACTAGCGACCTTCTCTAGACCATGGTTGGGAGTTAAGTCAACCAGAGTATTATTCTCTATAATCTACACCTTTAATGCAGACACCTTACTTTTTTTACGTTTTCAAATTCTGTTTCCCATGGTCCAACTAGGGATTCCCTCACAAAGTTTGTGTTTCATTTTCTTTCCTTAGATCAGGAATGGATTACATACTTACTGAATTTAGTATCACTTTGGTCTCTTGCAAACGTAGGGACGGAGGCTGAAGCATATGGTGTCGTCCCACTGTCCTTTTTTACCGCGTGCGCCTACCCAAAAATTACCGTCGTCCTGTTCAAGTGAAAATGATCCACAACGAAAGGTTAATAATGATAATAATAATAAATGATTTTTATTGTCCAAACAGTACCCGTGCAGTCGCAGCCTTTATACGGCTGAATTGATGCAGGGTATCACATAATAATCAATACAAATCACAACAATTACAACAATCAAATGATTATGATACACATATTTGTTCCACAATTATTTTTTGTTGGAACTGTCGCAAGGGTCTGTGCGGCTGCCATTCGGCGCCACAAGGTGACCTCAATACGACTTTCCCCAACCGAAGTTAGGTACCCATTCACACCTGGGTGGAGTGAGGAAAGTCGTGTAAAGTGTCTTTCCCAAGGACACAACGTCGGGGCGCATGTCCAGACATGTCCCACTACAAACCCGTGACTCCACCCCCTACAGTCTCCGTACTGATCAGAATTACGTCTTAATTCCTGCTAGAACTGAGAAATTCAAAAGATCTTTTCTACCTACTTCCATTGTTTCCTGGAATAACTTGCCATTAACTACACGAGCATCAACATCAATTGCCATCTTTAAAAAAGAGTTGGAGACGTTTTATCACAGCCCTCACACTCAACCTCACTTCTCCCACGGTCCGAGAAACCCAGCTATCCACCTTACCAGACTCAGACTCAACCGCAGTCAGTTAAACTTTCACCTGTTCCAACATCAATGTGTGCCCAGTCCTGCGTGCAAATGTGGTCACTTCAACGAAACAGCTGTACACTACTTCCTACACTGCCCACTGTACACTGACGAACGCATTGACATGTTATCATCTCTAACTAACATTCTGCCATTTGACACAAACAACGTCACCGACAACACTTTATGTTCAACCATTCTCAGGGGTAACCCCTCATTGTCGTTTGTCAACAACTGTAACATATTTGATGTGGTTTTCAACTTTATTTTGCAGACAGGACGTTTTGTTTGATTTAGTTGATTCATTTTGATTTGTACACCAGCCTACTATGTACCCTTGTCATTTCTTATTATTATTATTACTTTGTTTTATTGTATCCTTTTATGTGTGAGGAGAGGGCTGAGATAAGTTTTATAACTTTTTGCCTCATCCTCGGAAAATAAATGTGAATAAAATAAATAAATGTCCCGGGTACGACTTGGTAACGAACCCGGGTCTCCCCGCTTCATAATCGAACGCTCTAACCACTACACCACCCCACGCCACACAATGTCATGTAAGGCCACGGACCAACAAGCAGAACCGTGGAAAACAAACCCGTGTACTTGGAGGTTAGGCCACAGCAAGCAATTTTTATGGATGACATTAGCGCGCATATTAATTTTTGCCTGATTTTGGGGATTGGAAATTGGTGCCAGTGGTCACTGGTCAACATACCGAAAATGGGCCTTGTTTTAATTCACCCTATCACATTAGATTTGGAGTCTGAAGAGGATGGCATCCACAAAATTTAGTTGCTGTGGACTTATGAAAAGAGAAACAACTGATCTCACCTTGGCGTACATAGCACCACAGTTCTCTCCCTGGCCCAATGACAGCCAAGCTCTGTTGTTAGGCTCACCCGGAGCCCAGTTTGTGTAGGTCACGTCTGACCTATCTGTCCACGAAAATCCTCCTTTGCCGCGACACAATCCGAACCAGACCAAATGTCGAAGTGTACCTTTCGGGGCTGGAGTAAACACAATTTGTCAGTCACTCATGAGGAAGTTTATTCATGATAAAAAGATATAAATGATATAAATACAGTGGTAACATAAAGCATTGTCGGAATCCGAGAACTGCAACTGTGGAAAGAGGCTAATGGCCTTGTGACACACTGCAACAGCATGCCAATTTCTAGTCATTCTTTTATAATGTAGTAAGTTGAATCATTCCTATCCAGTAGCATACTGACATCTGTGAGCCAAAAATGTGAAAAACTATTGCTTGTTTTGTATAGGCTGACTCTAGCTTTCATGGCCGGTATCCAAAGTAAACGCCTCACGAAGCTTGTTTTCAAATGCTTCAAATATGCAATGATGGCTACAATGTGCCAAGAAATGGCAGTAAATGGTAGTATCAGACATATTTCCTCATCCAAAATATCTTTGCTCATATATCATTTAATCATATTGTCGATATTATTACCCACCATTTGTGATGAGCCTTGCAATGAAGTTGTTCTCCCCTCGGCTTTGGATGGAGGCCAGGTTTGCACCATGCTGTTTTTTACATTTTTCATTTGCAGTAGACCATGCGACTTTGTCCTTCACCAACTTGTAGCAGTGGTTGTTGTATTCCGTCCACCCACTCTGGCAACGTTTGGCTGAAACAAACAGTAAGAAGTGTGTTCAAGAAAACAGTTATTCAAAAACAGGATAGGTTTTGAAAACTCCCAGACGTTTCAGGTAGCATCCACTACTTTTTGTGAATGACTCAGATGTTCCAAAATAAACGTATTTCTAGATTTTACCCTGGAATATTTCAGCAAGTCTGGAACTCACCTTGCTGACAGTTCTGTCCAGTCCATCCAGGTGAGCAGGTGCATTTGTATCCACCATCTTTGTTCTCACAGGTTCCATGTTTACAGGGTTTGCCGGTACACTCATTGATGTCTGCGTGGTGAAGAAAGAAATTCCGTGCATAAATAAAACTTATTATACTATGTAAAGAAACCATGAAGTTACATTTAGAACCTGACTTTGGCAACAGTAAGACAGGTAGTAACTCACCTTGCTGACAGCTCTGTCCAGTCCATCCATATGAGCAGGTACATTTGTATCCGCCATCTTTGTTCACACAGCGTCCATGTCGGCATGGTGTCTTGGTACACTCATTGATGTCTGTGAGATCAAAAAAGGAAATGACTGATTTTGATCTTTGCAACGTATTTGGGAATGGTAGATGGAAATAGAAATAACATGTATGCTAATTGAAAGGTAGCTACAGAAAAAAGTGCTCACCTTGCTGACAGTTCTGTCCAGTCCATCCAGCTGAGCAGGTACATTTGTAGCCGTCAAGGTGGTTCACACAGCGACCCTGCAGGCAAGGGTTTCTGGTACACTCCTCGATGTCTGTGTGAAAGAAATGTACAGCAGTCGCAGCTGAACTAATTAGATACATGTATATACACACTGAAAACACACTTATGCCTTGGTTTTTACTTAACACCAAAAGGAACTCACCTTGCTGACAGTTCTGTCCAGTCCATCCAGGTGAGCAGGTGCATTTGTATCCACCATCTTGGTTCTCACAGCGTCCATGTTGGCAAGGTCTGCTGGTACACTCATTGATATCTGTGTTTTATGATACAAAGATGAGCTCGATCACTGTAACGTTTAATCTTTGCAACGTATTTGTAGCACCAAAATATTGTGATTGAGCACTTCAAGTTCATTTGCGTACATATCTTCACCAAAACGGAAATGGACTTTTACCACAGACCTTGCTGACAGTTCTGTCCAGTCCATCCAGGTGAGCAGGTACATTTGTAGCCGCCAAGTTTGTTCTCACAGTGTCCATGCAGGCAAGGGTTTCTGGAACACTCATTGATGTCTATGTGAAAGAAATGTACAGCAGTTGCAGCTGAACTGATTAGATACATGTACACACGCACTGAAACACATTTATGCCTTGGTTTTTACTTCACACCAAAAGGAACTCACCTTGCTGACAGTCATGTCCAGTCCATCCAGGTGAGCAGGTACATTTGTATCCACCATCTTTGTTCACACAGCGTCCATGTTGACAGATTTTGCTGGTACACTCATTGATGTCTGCGTTATAAAGACATACAGATATGCCATGCACAATGTAGATCACTGCTATAACAACCATATGAAGAAAGAAAGAAAATGGAAGGAATGGTAGATGCAAATAGAAATAACATGTATGCTAATCATAAAGGTAGCTACAGAAAAAAGTGCTCACCTTGCTGACAGTTCTGTCCAGTCCATCCAGGTGAGCAGGTGCATATGTATCCACCATCTTTGTTCACACAGCGACCATGCTGGCACGGGTTTCTGGAACTCTCATTGAGGTCTGCGTGATAAAGAAAAAAAATTAAACATGAATAAAACCTACACAATGCAAAGAAAACATGAAAGTACCTCTAGACCCTGAATGTGAGGTGAAACATGAAGACACAAATTAAAGTAACTTACCTTGCTGACAGTTCTGTCCAGTCCATCCAGCTGAGCAGGTACATTTGTACCCGCCATCTCTGTTCACACAAGTTCCATGCTGGCAAGGGTTTCTGATACACTCATTGATGTCTGTGTGTTATGATATGAAGAGGAGCTCGGGCACTGTAACATTACATCTTTTGCAAGGTATCTATAGCACCAAAATATTGAGCACTTGAACTACAT